CTGTTTGGACAGGGAAAGGATTTTAGTGCAGTTCTCCCAAATTTGGGGTGATGTCCAATGAGATAGTGGACTGTGCATGGCAGGGGAGGGTCTTTCTTCCAGCTGCATGTAGAAAGGACTTGACACCCCACCCTCTAAGTCCACCCTCTAAGCAGGGGGATAGCAGCAGCCTCTCCTATCAGCCATCTGAGGCTGCTCCTTGCTCAGTGTGCTGACTCGTATGGTCCCATTTGGAGGCACCAACCTCTCCCTATTCTTTGTACAGGGAGCAGTGGCTGCCTAGCACCTTTCTGTGGGTTTAACTCCCAAATTGCAGCAGTCACCATTACTGTGTCACTCTAGACAAAGAGACCAAAGTTCACCCCACTCCTGTGTTGCCAATGCTGTCCTCCAGTCTCTGCCTGCCCAATGAAGTTGCAGTTGCTCTTGTGTTTGCACGCCAATGTTTTCCAGACTCAGCCTTGCCTTGCTTTGGGAACAGGCACCACTATGGTAGGGGTTGTGGGCCCCATCCTGAAAAGCAGGGGTCAGACTGCTGCTGCTTTTAGGGCAGCAGGACAGCATTGGTGGTCCCCCTACCATTTGCTTTTAATTAGCTAGTTTTTCTGGCGCAACAAAGGGCTGAACTCTGCACTGGTGGGTAGCTCAGGTAGGCCTAGCAGCCTGAGTCAATTCCAGGGCAGTTCTAAATTCAGCCTGAACACCTCCCTGTTCAGGTAATATGCTGACAGGTGGGAACTACATGTGAATGCAGCCATGAGAGGGTTCATAGTGTGAAGGCAGGAATGTTCAGGAACATGCATGCAGCGTAACACACCATCAGACATGTTGGGCCTTGTGCTGGGTGTAACTGGAGAAGGAAACAGCCTTCCAGAGGCTCTTCTGACTGTAGTTCAGTGCCTGGAGAAAGGTAAGCCTATAGGAAACACTTAGAAGGAAATGCCCAGCTTCCAATTCACAGTGGACATGAGCCAAAGCTGACCTGAGCGATTTGTGCCTTTGAGGCATGTTTGGGACAAAACACAACAGAGGTTTACCAAGGGTAGAATGGCACAATCTATCTGGTAGCTGCCTTTGATTTGATTTTTCTTGAGAGCAGAAATGTGGTACATCATATCTGTCTGGACATTAAATATAAGATTAACTGCTTTACTAATCTAAGAGGAGTGATAGGATAGTGGGAGATTGATAATGGAGCTCCTCAAGGAGCTTGAACCGTTAATTATTTCCTGTAGTGACCTTGGTATTAAAAAAAAAAAAAAAAGAAGTGAGCTAATGAGATTTGCTAGGAGGCATCATCACTACAGCCAGATATTCTGTGGGCAGAACCAGATTACCAGAGGAGGACTGGAAGAATGGCATGGAATTCAATCATACACAATGCAAGGACATATACTGGGTAACGAAAAACAAATGCTTCTGCTATAAACTGGGACCCCATTGTTTGGGAATCACAAAAGGAGAAGGCCCTGGGTGTAAGAGTTGATGGCAACTTGTAGTCATGCTGTGAATGTCCAGCTCTGAAAAAGGTCAGTGGGTTCCTGGGATGGAGCAGGAAAGCTATTTTCAGTGGAGATGGGGAAGTTCTAATGCCAGTGTAGAAGGCACTGGCAAGGCTGCCTCTGTGTGTACAAGACTGGTCACTCCTGTTCAAGGAAGATGTAGTGAAATGGAAGAGCTGATTTATGAGAGGAGACAAAAATGTTGGTATGTCTAGCTTCGCAAAATGAAGGCGAGGGATGTCTTGTTACTGTATATAACTACTTTAGAGTATAAATAACAGGGAGGAACAAGAACTATTTAAGCTGGAGGACAATGTTGACCAAACGGGCATGAACTGGCCAGGAATGAATTTTAGCTGGAAAGGAGTAGGTTTCTGGCCATCAGAGTAGTGAGGGTTGGCGACAGCTGCCTAGTGGAAGTACTCAGGGCTAAAATCTAAGCTGCTTCTAAGTTGCAGAGATGCTATGGTTATGTTGTGGCTGGTGCCAATTAGAGCAGAGGATCAGACCCAGGAGGTCACTGCCAGTCCCCTGCTGGCAACAATTCCATGATACGCCTGCCTCATGCAACAGTCAGGCTGTGCCAAGACGGTTGTGAGCCGAACCTGACCTGACCCTGGACTGTGAGCACAAGATGCAGTTGCAGCTGCAGATGGATGCCTTGACATTTTTGGTCATGCTATGGGGCTGTTACACAGGTAGAGCAGTCTTCCCCTGAGATGGCTGCCTTCCAGCACTGGGCAATTCCTAAACAGAGACTGTAAAATTTGGTACCTCTGAAGTATCAATGTCAGCAGTTCACTAACTCACTTTCTCTTCCCATGCTTCTTGCCCTAAGCAGGTTACTCAGAGGCTCCTGCTGGGGCTGACCAACCTGAATTTGCTACTGGAGGTCAGTTTTAACTCCTTTACTGCCAGCAGCTGTGTATGCTGCAGCTTCCACACTGGGGCTGCATTTCACTGTTGGAACACTGCCCTCTGCAGGGAACTGCTGCAGTTAGAGCAAGCATAGCAGTCCTCAAAAGCCTGGGATTAGATAGACAGTTACAGCTTTAAAGTGTCCCCTCATTAGGAAAGTCCCAAGAAACAGATACCTTCTGCTCCTGGGCCCCTCCTTACTTACACTTTTCAGACACATGAGAGCTCCCAAGTGCCAGCCAGAATGAGATTTCCTTTGCGACCCTGGGGATTTCCAGAGTGAGTCTAGAGGGGCAAGGCTGGTTATTAGATGACCTAGAACCTCAAAGGCATTCCAGCATCTAACCCTCCCTGAAGCATGTACCCATCAGGAAAGCATTACAGCATCAGAAACCCCTTATTTCCTGTTGCCTCTTGAATAAATGCCTTGTTGGCCACACCTGCACCAGGACATCATGCACAATGGGCTGACAGACTGAAACATGTTGGCTGATGTTCAAAAGGTCAATACTTCAGATAGCCACAGCTCACCTCCACCTGCCTGTTGTCCCAGCCTTGCCTCAGGGCTCCCCTGCCCTGCATCTCATCCTCAGGCTGCCTTATATAGCAGCAGGTAGCACGCAGAACTGCTGACACCAAAGCATGACAAAAAGAACCAGACACAGACCGTGCTCAGCACTCACACCCAGCTGGAAGCGGACATGAGGGGAACAGGTAGGAAGCCAGGGCTGGTGCTGGGGACTAGGAGCAGGGCAGCTCTCCCGCCCCAACTCTGAGGCAGCAGATATGGGCAGTGGCAGCAGCAGCAAGAGGGCACATCACAAAGCTAAAGGTTTGGCATCTGCACTTGAGTCTGTTTGGTTCCCGTAGTAGCCAAAATGCCTCAGGCCTTTTGCTTCTGCATTGGACACATTCATGTGAGCTGTCTGGGTATTTTTCCTTTGCAGCAGGAGAAGAATCCCAGCCCCTTCCCCCCTTACCTCCACCCCCAAACTATGGAGATAACAGTAGTTTGCAGCCTGGTGTCATGTGGAGTCTGAATACCCCTTGGCTCACTGTCAGGGGACGGTCACACACACTGCTGCATCCTCACTTCCCAAAAGGATGCTGAACCAAAGGCTGGAAGTGTCTGTGGAGGCTCACCTCTTCTTCAGGAGAAGGAAGGGGCTGCTGGGAGATGGCAGGCGGGCTACAGAGCATGAGATGCACAAGCAGTCGGCTCCAGCAGTCAGGAGCTGGGGCACAGGACAGAAGCAGCGTGGCCTCCTGGGGTCTCTCCCTCAGTCCAATTCTGTCTCCATCACAGAGCCCTAGACCACAGTATGATTTGTGCGAGTGAGCTGGAGGCCACCACTCCTACGCCACTGCTACCGCTCCTGCAGGCCAGGCCGGCCACAGCTCTTCAGCTATGTTGGATTTGGTCCAGTTAGGGGTACTGGACCCTCGCCAGGTGCTGGTGCCTGAGAGGTGGCAGCAGGTTCAGTATGGCAGCTCAGGAAGCTGGGGGCCCACAGGAGTGGCGCTTTCCCCACATTCTCAATCCTCCAGGGTTGGTGGTCCTGTGCGGCTGGTGCCGTCCTTGAAGGGCAATCACTGGTAGCGGACCTGGTTCTCCAACACTGGCCCGGTCCTGTACTCACCCTCCACAGTTTCCAGCTCTGTCTCAAAGCTCTGCAGGCCACTCTCCTCATTGTTTTCTGCTGGCTCCAGGCGGTTGCCCATTGTACCATAGGACTGGTGGGCTGGGGAGGCAGCTGGTGTGAGGCTCAGCTCTGGCTCTTGCAGTACTGTGGCCACAAACATCTGGGACAGGAAGAAGAGTGGGTGTGACCTGAGGGACAAAGCACTGTGGGTCTGGGATCAGAAAGAGGCCCCCCACTTTCCAGTCAGAATGCAGACTGGACAAATGGAGGGATGGGACTGGGGCTCCATTGTTCTCATTTCGTAAGAGCTACTGGTACCAGGAGGTGAGCAACCACACTTGGAGATCATCACTTCCACTCAGAAAGGTTTCTGGAAAGTCCACTAGCTGAGGGAACCAAGCATGCTGCCTTGGCCCTAGGCATAAGTGGCTCATAGGGCAGGAGCCGGAGGCTCACAAGGCAGTTGGGAGGTGAGGACTGTGGATAGACTTACATTGGAGTTAGGGGTTGAGGAGATGCTGCTTCTTTCCGTGTCATTGAAGGCCCCATCAGACTGTTCAGACATCTGTAGGCAGATGGAAGAAGAATGTGACATCATCATAAAACACAGACATTCTTGGTTACAGGGTCTGTCCCCTCCACTCAGGGTCAGACCAATTGCCACATCTGGGGTCAGGAAGGAATTTTACTCCATAGTCAGATCAGAATGGACTGTAGGGGTTTTTGCCTTTGTTTCTAGTGGGGGGTATGGCCCTCTTCCTTGGATCACTCTAGTGTATTTTGACAACCCTTGCAGTGACAAGACACTGAAAATTCTCATCCCCCTGCTTCACCTGTGACAGGTTAGGGTGCTTTTGGTGTCTTTGACAGGGTAGACTGTGCAGTTTTAGGAATAGGTTAGACAAGCACTTGGATGGTTTGGATAGGGATGATTCTGCCTTGAGCAGGAGGCTGGAATAACTGTTTTTTGAAGTCCCTTCCAGCTCACCCTCCATATGATTCTATGATCAGGGAGGGAACAACAGCTCAAATCCATGAAGGACAAACCCCCATAAAAGACAATGGGCTGGAATACCCTGTTGCAGCCTTGGGAGACCAATGGGAAGGAGAGGAAGGTTGCCATGTTCACACCACCCAAAGACCCATTCCCTAGCTGAGATCTAGGCTTCATTGAGCTGGCCAGAGCCCAAGTCTATTAGATACAGTAGAGCACTGGCAGACTCACAGCTGCTTCTACTACCTGAGATCCCATAGCAGTGGCCTGGCTGCCAGCAGCTTTGGGATGGTGCATCTGCCACTTTGCTTTTAGGGCCCAGCTTATGAGTTCACGACCAGCTATGGGACTCAGCTGGCTGCTGGTCAGGAGGCAAAATTCCTGGAACAGGCAATGAGCTCATTCCCTCAAGGGACAGAAAAAAGCTCAGGGCAATGGCATGTGTATGACAGTACTGCACCCCTGTGCTTCCCTGTGATGTGAACACTGACAGGGGAAGGAGTGGGAAGAACTCTGAGCTGGGCCACAACACCTGAAGTTCAGCCAGAGAGCTGAGGAGGCTGAATGGACAGGGGTGGGGGTGCTGTCTGCAGCACCAGGGGTTCAGCCCTGTACCTTGTCTGGATGGAGCTAAATCCTCAGGCACTGCATTGAATCTGTAAGGCTGGAAGCAGACACACTGAGCAAACAGCACTAAGAGACTGGACAGGTTGGTCTGGTGAACTCACTTGGTAGCTGGAGGGCTTTCTTGGTTGCAGCTTTTTCAGACACAAGCCAAAGAAGGAGAAGATAATGCAGAAGAGAAGGACCACAAAAGTGAAGAGGGTAACAGGACGGACAGGACCTGATAGAGAGATGGACAGGCTGCCTCAGAATCCACCAGCTCTACTTCCAAGCCCCCACAGGAGCCTCTGAGAACTGGCCGGCCCACATGCATTGAACTCCCTCTCCATTTGAGCATGAGCTAAACAGTTGCCCCACATCTGACTGAGCCACACCCCCCTGGTCCCCTGAGCATTAGTCCCTCTGTCCCACATCTGGCTGGTTACCCTCCCATCTTGTTCCTGCCTCAATCCCTATTCACCCCGTTCCCACTCCCTTCTGTTCCCAACATGAAGGTGATGCGTGGTGGCTGGCAGCTTGGCTCCACAGACAAAGGGCTGGGTGAGGGGTGTCCCTGCTTGAGCCCTCCCTACCTAGGCGCAGGACAGAGAAGAAGAGCAGCCAGAACATGCAGAGGATGGGAGCCACCACCACCTGGCTGATGGCTGCTGAGTGGATGCGCTGGTTCAGCTTGGTGGGGATGTACACGTAGTAAATGTTGTATCGATCGACCATGTGTTTCAGCAGCATGTACAGCAAACCTGAGGGAAGGGCAAAGGGTCAGGAGAGGCACAACCACAGGGTGAAGAGGGAAAGCAAAAAGCACCACTGTGAGGAGAGGAGACAAGTCCAGGCACAGAGTCTGGGGGCCTGGTACCAGTGAAGTTTAGGAGCAGAGGATTCTGCAGCAGATCCCTGTTCATCTTGTTGCATGCCCAGCCAGATATGCTAGTCACTGCATGGCAGGCAGTCCTCAGCAGAAGGCTAGCGAGCCAGGGGGCTGACTAGGCTGCCTCCATACCAATCCCCTTGCCTCCCAGGGGAACATATGGAACCTTCCATTGGCTGTGGGAGAGGCTGTTTCTAGCAATGTCCAAGCCTAAAGATGGGGCAAGTGCGGACAGGGCAGGGAGCTCACAAGACTCATATGGGCACTCACCAAAGGGGACGATGATGGGGCAGGTGATGCTGTAGGTCATGACGACAGCGAAGATGCAACAGGTCCAGGCGTACTCCAGCCCGAACTGGAACTCATAGGCTTGGCTCTGGGGCACAACCAACAGCACGGTTACCCTGCTGCCTCCAGATTACTGTTCCCAGTACAGCAGCACCCAGAAACTTCAGCAGAGGTCAGGGCACATCATGCTAGGGGCTCTACACATTCTAAAATTCCTGTCCCAGAGCACTTACAGCCTACAGGCAGATGGGAACTTAAATGACCGGAAGTGGAGCAGAGAGAAGAGATGAGCTGCCCCACTGCACAAAGGGACTCTGATAGAGCCAGAAACTGTTCCCAAATCTACTGAGACCCAGCCCTGTGCTGTCTTAACTACACCCCAACCCTCCCCAGCTTCTTCTCCACAGCTCTGAGTTATGCCCAGGCCCCTGTGCTTTCCTACTACTGTTGCAGTCCCTCTAGGCAGCACTGCACAGCCATCACTCTCCAGCCCACCACACAACTTTCCACAGCTTTCCTTAGCCAGAACCGCTGAGTAAAAACAGGTATGTCCTTGCCCCTCTCCCTCTGCCTTCCCAGAGCAGTACAGCTTGCCCCCTCTCTACTGGCACTCGGCCCAGACTCACACAATATCCCTAGGCCCCAGTCTTTTCACAGAGCCCCAGGCTCTTAAGCACAGAACCACAGAGATGTAGGGCTGAAAGGGACATCTAGAGCTCATCTAGTCCAACCCCTGCATAAGGCAGGATCATCCCCATCCAAACCATCCCATACAACCATAATCTAACCTCTACATAAGACTACCCTCAACCATAACACAACACTGACTTAACACCCTAACTTGCCACAGGTAAATTAGGGGAACCACAGCAACCAATGTCCTGCTTCTATAAAATGTTGTCAATATATACTCAAGAGATCCTGGGTAGAGGGCCACACCCCTGCTACAGAGGATGGCAAAAACCCCCACAGTTCATACAAATCTGACTGGGGTAAAATTCCCTCCTGTCCCCAAATATGGGGATCAGCCTGACCCTGAGCACAGAGGCAAGACCCTCTAGCCAGGAACGTCTGGGTTTAGTCCCAGCGGGAGCACTGGCCCACGCCAGTCAAAGTGCCCATCCTTGTCTGTAGCCAACACTCAATGCCTCTGGTGCTTTCCCTCCTCTTTACGGCAAGTACTTGTAGACTGCTATCACAGAATCATAAAATCAGGGTTGGAAGGGATCTCAGGAGGTCATCTAGTCCAACACCTTGTTCAAAGCAGGACCATCCCCAACTATCTCATCCCAGTCAAGGCTTTGTCTAGCGGTCTCTTAAAAACCTCCAAGGATGGAGAGTCCATCACCTCTCTGGGTAACTTGTTCATGTTCACTCTTAAGCACCTTCTCTGCAAGCTGAACATGCCTAGCTCCTTCAGCCTCTCCTTATCTGACTTGCCTTCCAAGTCTTTATTATCTTTATTGCCTGCCTCTGGACCCTTTCTAACTTCTCCGTGTCATTTTTAAAAATGTGGAGCCCTGAACTGCACACAATACTCCAGATGGGGCCTAACCACTGCCAAGTAGAGGCACTTATCACTTCCTGTGTCTTGCACCTACTGCTTCTATTGATGCAGTACAACACTGCATTTGCCTTTTGTGCAGCTGCATAATACTGCAGACTCATATTGAGTCTATGATCTATCAAGACTCCCAAGTCCTTTTCCATGGAACTGCCATCCAGCCAGGTGTCACCCATTTTATATTTATGTTTTTGATTATTTCTCCCAAAGTGTAGCACTTTGCATTTGTCTGCATTGAACTTCATCCTGTTAGCTTTAGCCCAACTTTCCAATCTGTCAAGATCTTTCTGAACTGCGCTTGCCTCTTCCAATGTGTTTACACCAGTTCTGTGTCGTCTGCAAACTTGCTCCAGAAGCTTTCTATGCCAGCATCCAAATAATTAGTAAACACATTGAACAGCACTGGGCTCAGGACAGACCCCTGTGGGACTCCAATTGAAATCTACTGCCATTCTGACATGGACCTATTCATAATTATCCTTTGCTTGCAGCTATTACGCCAGTTATCTATCCACCTTGTAGTAGTTTTATCCAGCCTACATTTTTCTAACTTGTTTTTGAGAAGGTTGTGTCAAAAGCTGTGCTGAGGTCCAGATACATTATATCCACAGCATTCCCTTCATCCACCCAAGTAGTTACTTTGTCAAAGAAGGAGAATAAGTTTGTTTTACCCAATTTGTTTTTCATAAATCCATGCTGGCTGCTTGTGATCACAGCCTTTCCTCCTCCCGATGCTTGCAAATGACCTTTCTTAAGATATGCTCCAGTAACTTGCCAGGTATTGAGGTAAGGCTAACTGGTCTGTAGTTCCCCAGTTCCTCCTTCCCTTTTTTAAAGAGGGTCACTTTGTTGGCCCTTTTCTAGTCTTCTGGTACCTGGCCCATCTTGAACAACTTCATGAAGATAATTTCTAAGGGCACCAAGATCTCCTCTGTCAGTTCCTTCAGTACCTTGGAATGAAGTTTATTCAGCCCTGCTTACTTGAATTCATTCAGATCCAGAAAAAGCTCTCTGACAACCTCTTTTGTTTTCCCCTCCCTCAGCTTCCTAATCCAGATAATCCTTCGTAGGTGTCTGGCTGTAGCTAAATTTTTTTGTGAAGACTCTGGAAAAGTAGCTGTTGAGTAGATTCACCTTCTTTACATCTTCTGTAAGGAGTTCCCCCTGGCTTGTTAACAGAGGACCCACAGCTTCCTTGGTCCTTCTTTTCTGGCCATCATACTTCTAGAACCTCTTCTTGTTGTGTTCAACCTCCTTTGCCAGGTTCAGCTTGTTCTTTATCTTTGCGTTTCTGATTTTGTCCCTGCAGGTTCTTGCTATTTCTCGGTATGCAACCTCAGTGACCTGCCCATTTTTCTATTGCCTGTATGCTTTCCTTTTGCTTCTGAAGCATTTTAGAAGCTTCTTGTCCAGCCACATTTGGTTTCCTGTCATTCTTCTTGTGCTTCTATTGTGTCAGGACAGTTTCTTGTCAGGCTACCAGTACAGTGCCCTTCAGAAGCTCCCAGCCATTCTAGGTGCCTTTATTCTTCAGTCTATCCAACCCAAGACATCACGTCTATTAATTTCTTGAGTCAGATGAAATCCACCGTTTTGAAATCTAACATCTACTTCTGTTGACATCTACTTCAGGACCTGGAATACTATCGTATCATGACTGCTTCCTCCCAAATTACCCTTCACCTTCACATCTTCAACCAGTTCTCACCTGATGGTCAGGACAAGATCCAAGAGAGATGATTCCCTAGTTGTATCCTCCACTTTATGGAACAGAAAGTTGTCCTCCACACAAGTTATGAACTGGCTTGAGATTTTGTTTGGTTGTACTGTTCTTTTAGTAGATGTCCAGAAAATGAAAGTCTCCCAAAAGTACCATCCCATAGCTTTTGGATAGATTTGTCACCTGCTTGAAGACTGCCTCATCCATCTCCTCCTCTTGATTTGGTGCCTTATAATACATCTCCACCATTACATCGGTGCTGTATCTTTCACCTTTCATCTTCAAAGAAATATAATGCTGTCTTCTTCCTCCTGAACGAAGGAAGAAGTGTATGTGTTTTTGACATATAAGGCAACACGACCTCCTTTTCTCCCAACTCTGTCCTTCCAAAAAAGTGTGTAGCCCTCAGCGTTGACATTCCAGTCATAAGAGCTGTCCCACCAGGTCTCTATGATGCTAATCAGATCACAGTTCTTTTCACAGGCTGCAGCTTTCGGCTCATCTTATTTATTCCACATACTTCTCACATCTGTATACATGCATTGGATGTATTTTGCATTTTGACCTACTTACTTCCCTTTTGCAGCACTTGTTGCAGTCCTGTAGCTCTCCGGCCCTTTCCCAGAGTTAAGTTGCTTCTTCAAGTCCTTTCCCCTCTGGACTGCGTGTTCTGTTGCTGGAGGGTGTCATGACCCAAAGGCATGATTTTGTGTGTGCTTCGGCACCAGAATTATCCCTGCCAAGTTGCAGCTTCATTGCACGGGAGAGTTTCCTGTTACAGAGGAGAACCCTGGTGCAGGGACGAGTTTCCCGCCTATTTGCAGCTTCTTTTGCAGAGTGCATTGCTCAAGTTGCAAGAGAAATGCACGGTGCAAAAGAGTTCCCGCCATCAGTATGCAAATTCGTTTCCCACTATTGGCTAGTTTTAAATTATTCACACGTGGCGGCTAACGATTGGCCTGTTAGCCGTATAAGAGGCTTGAGCAGTTTCCGCCCAAGCCGAAGAGGACTCCACATCCATCTCGTGGGGACTCTGGATACACGGCAGGGTAATAGAGACCCTGTGTGAGATTCAGAGGAGCGTGGCAGCCTGATCCACCGCCCACCTCTTCCCGTATTCGAGCGCGACTTTTATAAGACGTGCCTATGATTCTGATTTTGGTGGCTCGTTCACCCAGAGCATC